AGGTGATTCACCCTCTGCTAGTCTATCGCCATAACCTGTTGTTCTTGTTCGTAAAAACGATGGCTCCGTGCGTTCTTGCGTCTATTACCAGTGCTTAACAAGATCACTCGCAAGGACGTGTATTCCATGTGACGCATGCCCTTGGTTCCTTACAAGGTGCGAAATACTTTTCAAGCTTCGACCTGCGTTCAGGATACTGGCTAACTGTCATGCGTGAACAGGATAAAAAAGAGACATTTGCAACTCCCGACAGGCTATACAAATGGAAAGTTATGCTTTTTGAGCCGTGCGACGCGCTTCCGAATCTTGAACACATAAATATTACCATGCTCTGCGGCCTGAAAAACCTGCCTGTGCTACGCCAAAAAAAGACTGAAGGAAGCGCGTAGTTTCCTTGGTCTCCAACACTAAACAAAAATAACGCGAAATATTCTAAAAAGTGGGTGAACCACTTGTCCTCTAGCGAACTACATTTTCGGGGTTTTTTTTACCACCTACCAATCGAAGTAAAAATTTACTCTCGTACTGAGTTTTTGAATGTAGGAAGGGTAGTACTTATTTACCCCACTGAGGTTTCTGAGCGAGTATGGAGAGAGTAAATTTTTACTGCCTTCAGAAGGTTTTTGAGGTAATTTCTGGGAGTTATTTCAGGTGGTGAAAAAAATTGATGGGTGCATTCGCCAAAACAGCTGACAAATTTATTAAATACCCAATGACGTCAGAACTGATGACACTTAGATTGACATACAGACAAGCGTGAACTTGAGGTGGGCTGCTGGTCGCAAGGAGTCACACCGACATTTTATTTTAAATCCGATCTCACCTTTTCGATTATCCAATAATCAGCTGGCATATTGGCCTATAGGCCTCACCAGTGTTAGCACTGCTGATGCACAAGTCTACAAAATATGCCTATTCACACATAAACCATGGCCGCTCAAAGATTTTCACTAAACGGCGATGCACAAACACAGTAGCAGCACGTATTCATGACAACCGGTGTAGAAGAGTGGGACAGACGGCGTACTGGGCTTTTTCGAGGAGCACGGCTATGCGATGAAACACAGCTGGCGATCACAGAATACGCCTCCTGTGCGAATTTTGTCGTCATTTGAGACACAAATGAATACGATTCCGCTATCTGCGGAGTGTTGCGCGTACGGGCAAATGTATGTACTTCCAACGAAAGAGACGGGCCACCATCTGGGTTTTTTTCATGCTCACCGGCAGCCGCTTGTTAGTTCCGTCTGCCTCGTATCGGCTCTAGGCTTCACGCTACTTGTTTTAGAACAGTTGATCCATAGGGTGGTCGATTCGGGCTGCCCTTTACTCTAGCAGACATCGTATTCTGTGGAAGAAAATCTATACGAACATTCTTTCATTTGCCCCGGTGATGCACTCACACTGGCTACTGGCCTACTCACTGCCGACGACATAGTGAAGCCTCTTGTTTATTGCTTCGAAGTTGTAAGAGGTCACTCTCCTGAAAGGAACCTCGGATGATGACACCAGCTTGATTTCGTTACTGCTGGCAGCTCTTTGTGATTCCTCACGAAAGCAAGGTTTGGAGGCTCGCACTCGGCAGCGCACGGCCACATCACGATGTAAGAAACTCGTTCGATCCATCAGCTCAACCAGACACATATATCTCGAGCTTCTTACACTGTTTGTCTCCAGGGCCGTCACGCAGAAAAAGCCAACGATTTGCAAAAAATTGCAGGATAACTTTCAAGCAGGTTTTTTTTTTCGGGTTCTCTTTTTTCTTTCACAGAAAGGTTTCCTCGCTTGCTGAAGTTATGCTTCTCCCAGTTAGTGGTGGTGGTAATACTATGTCTTGTACCACCTTTCACTCCAACATGAGGTAGTAACTTTAAACGCGAGAGAGTTTTAAAAGGTCATGAGTCACGAAAACCCCAAACTCGGATAGTTTTTGCTTACAGTGCGCCTCCCATTTCTGCTTTTTTATACGGAACTTCACATCGATAGATGCTCCACTACACCAGCTACTTGCTCCGACATGCTCTTTGTATGGTTCTGAAAAATGTCAAATGAAATTCGACCTGTGAAAGTCTTCTCTCACGTCGAAACCGTTACTCTACCATTTTGATGAGGCCGCCCCGACTACTCCACTTACGGACACTAGCGGACATGGTGGAGGTGCCGTTCTTCAGAAAAGTGACATCGCTTTACATTGGAGAGTAGTTGAATATGCCAGCCGAGTACTAACTGTGACTAAGCATAACTATAGCACTGAGAGGCAAGTTTGGCCAGTTCGTTGGAATTCACAATGAACTTTGTTTACAGGGTAAATTGCTAAGGCTTATACCGTATCGATTACAGACAAGAGCTGTACTAGTTAAGCAGCCGTTTTTCTGCATGAGAAGAATTTTGCTTACTTATATCAATCTTCGGTATCTGTACGTATGACCACGCTGCCAGAATGTCAATTGTGTCTTGGGCACGTGACAATTTTGTTTACTTCGTACAGATATACGTCACTATTCAATTTTTATGAAAATGAGTTGAGAGTCGGCGCCGTCTTTTCTTTCTCTTTTGCTCTTTCCCTGTGTCTGTGTTTCTGGCGTTGCGCTGTGACCTGTGTGATGGATAGGCCTTTTTTTCTAGTGGACCCTGACTTCGGTTAGTTTATATTGAATAAAGTTGTGCTGTTTCAGCAAACCAAGTTGACGATAAACTATAGCATAACTGAGCAGGAGTGTTCATCTGCGGTTTGGCCAGTGCTAAACTTCCAGCCCAATTTGTACGGCCGTCATTTCACAATCGTTACGTACCACCACGGGTTATGCTGGCTTTCCACATTGAAGAACTTGCCTGGAAGCTGGGTCGGTGGATTCCGCGTGTACAGGAGTATGACTTCGACATCGTTTGCAAGCCTGCTAAAAAACGCCAAGATGTCGATTCCCTTTTCCACTGCCCCCTTCCACTTACCCAGCTCGGAATTGGTCAGAGTTCGGCCATCAATACTACTGCAGCACCTTCACTACCCAGCTTTCCTCGAATGACGAGCCCACATTTCACTCCTGCCAATGTTCTCATGCGTCCTATAGACGCATTATGTGCCACCTCTCTGGAGCTTCCCATCTGCCTAACGCGCGGTGTCATAGTCAGCTCTAGCTTCTTCAGCTGGAGGAGAATGGTTTTCTCCACCACCACAATTACCGCCCTTATGGTCAGTGCTGTGTTCCTGTGCTACCACTCTCTCTTCGAATGCAAGTGCTTAAATCCTTTCACGACGACTTGACTGTCGGCCATCTTGGTTTTCAATAACACTCACGACCGCATTAGAATTTGCTTCTACTGGCCTGGCAGTTTTATTCGCGTTGCACGATAAGTGAGTTCCTGCTTCTCCTGCCAACGTCGTAAACTCCCGATATCTGCACCAGCTAGGCATCTACGGCTGATTCCGTGCCACACAACTCCATTTTAGGTTGTGGGTGTTGATTTTTTTGGTCCTCTTCCCGTGACATCTCTTGGCAAACGATAGATAGTGACCGCCCTAGACCACCTGACACGTTATGCTGACACAACCTATGTGACTACTGCGACACCTTCGGCAGTTACAGGGTTCGTTTTTCATGCTCTCATTCTGCGCCATAGGGCTCTTCGCATATTACTGAGTGACCGTAAAAGAATGTTCCTGACATAACTCCTAAATGATGTACTGCGCGCTTGTGGAAAGACAAGGGAACTTCGAGCTACTACCCTCAGACCAGTGGCCTCACCAAAAGACTTCATTGCACTCTGCTGCTATGACAGCCGTGTACATCAATCCAGACCACAAAAAGCAGGATACTCCTCTCTCATTCCTCACCTTCACCTACCTAACGACTGTTCAGCGTGCCATCCGACATTCACCATTCTATCTCAATTATGAACATGCCCCATTTCTTTTCTCGGCGTTTTCTTTTTCAACAACTATATCAACTCCTCTGTGTCTTCCAGCAAAAAATGCTGTTTAAGATTAGCCTGGTGTCACCATCGTGCCAGAATGAGCATGGCAGTGAGACAAGAAGTTCGCAAGATCATATATGACGCATCTCACGACGTTGTAATCTTCCGACCTGTGGGCGAGGTGCTCCTTTTCACATCTATTCGCACACCAGGTCTCCGTGACAAGTTCGACCCACGCTTAATTGGGCCTTATTGTCATCGAGCAGACTTCACCAGTTCATTATCGTGTCACACCCTTGTCCCCCATCAGACTTGCGTCAGCGCAGCACTGAGATCGTGCACGTTTCCTGCGTGAAATCTTTCAGGCAACGTTCATCATCACTTTGGATTGTGACGGCTGGGTTGGTCGCTTCCATGAGGGGAAAATCAGTGTGGGCAATATTTATGCGCTTCTTCTCACCTGTACAGTATCATAATCATCATTATCTGTCTGGCTTTCTCTTTCCTAATCTTCAACGTGTGCCATCACCATCATTCTTCGGTGTCTGTGTGCTCCGCCTGGGTTTCCTGTTAGCTGCCGAGTCAGCTGGCTTAATAAGCACCGTCGAAAGCCAGATATCCTAACACACACACACACACACAAACACACAAACACAAATATATATATATATATATATATATATATATATATATACCATACTTATTGTAAGCATATATATATATATATATATATATATATATATATATATATTTATATATATATATATACCATACTTATTGTAAGCATATATGTATATATATATATGCCTACATCAAGTATGGTTTCATTTACCTACCCCCACTAGATGCAAATATCGCGCTGCGTTAGTGATAAATGTGCCACTAATTTCATGGTGGCCTGCACCAGTGATAATACAGGAAAAAAATCCAGCCAAATAAACTCATGAGCGTAGGCTTTGTAGCAATCTGCATTGCAAATATTGATTCCAGGTCCCACTGAAAGAGCTGGGCTGCCTCTTTGAGGCGCAACTCATGACTTCACGTTACGTTCCTTTTCAAACAACCTTTCGTGTTTCTTCTCGTTGCAGACAACCTTGGTGCAGGTGTGGTACCTCTCGGCAGATTTTCAGTTCTTTCTGGTCGGCATCATTGTTATCCAGGTGTTTAGGACGTAGGTATATCTCTCTCTTTCTTTTTAAAATGAGACATGCTTCAAGAAATACATGAAATATGTCGACTCTACTGTGTGTTCTCTATACCGCATCTATTACAACGAAAAATACCAAGCCGGTATGTCTCCTTCACACACGAATGAGGAAGCACTGTCTACAAATGCATGATTCCGGAGCACTAAGAATTATCTCCGAAAGAGGAAAATAAGGAATGTCAAACTTTATCAGAGGTTCAGTAATTATAGATTATTAGAGTCTTACGAATTATCTAAATGATTTTACCACTCAGTTTCAGTGCTTGCACAAAAAGAACGAATGATTAGGTGCTTAGTATGAGAGGGAATTAAAAGAAATTGATTCCTTCGAGCTATTACTGCAAAAAATGTTCTTTTTTCCGTATATTAGAAGACACCAGTCTTTCATAATGGCAGCAATGACAATTAGAGTTTATTGACCCCCGTTTCATTTCATAATACTTTTGCAATGAGGTAACATCACAAAATGTGGTATTTTGGAATTTATATAAAAAACGGTGACTCATGCATACAAATATATTGATATTTGTACCTCGCGATTGCTTATGAAATGCGGTAAATATATCGCAACAAGAAGCAAAGAAAACGCTTTTGTGAAGTTGTGACAAAGTTTCAAATACAAGTGATTTTGGCGCCAATGCGTGCCGCCTACTTTTCATAAAATTGAAAGTTGACAGTTCAAAGTTTATTTAGCTAAACACATGTATTGATTACAAAAAAAAAACACCTTTGGGACCCAATAGATTTCTTGAAGGGCTACTACCGATGTAATCTCAACTTAAAAATCTATAGCACTTCCTAATATGCACATTGTAATGAGATCACTTAACAGAAGTGTCTAAATTATGTGTACAATTGTACACATAACTTAGCATACCTGAAGTACGTTAAAAGAGGAAGTGTGGTATTGGGTTGCACTTTTGATGCTGCACTTTGCTAAACGTTTCGATTCATTGATTGATATCTGGGGTTTAACGTCATAAAACCACAACATAAATATGAGAGACTACGTCGTGAAGCGCTCCTGAATTTCGACCACTTGGAGTTATTTTACGCGCATTCAAATCTGAGCACACAGGCCTACAACATTTCCGCGTCCATTGAAATAAAAAATGCAGCCATCGCAGCCGAGATTTTATCCCGCGACCTGCATGTTAGCTGTCCTGTACCTTAGCCACTAGATCACCGTGGCGGAGCTTGCAAAAACTTTCAGAGTAGTTTTTTTGTTAAAAAAAAGCTACTAAATTAGAAATCAACCACAAGAAGTTAGCGGAAAGTTTTCTATTCATTTTTTGGGACTTAGGCGTAAGAGTATAAAAGATTGGGTAATATTTTCACCCTGAAGATAAAAGTCTCCGTGAAGTCATGCAAAGACTTGTAAATGTTTGCTCTAACAAATACTTGCGAACTATTAACTATCGTGCGGTGGCGCGAGTTTCACCACACTTCTTTCATTTAAGAAGAATTTCTTGACAAGAATTAGCGACTTTGAGCCTATCTATCTATCTATCTATCTATCTATCTATCTATCTATCTATCTATCTATCTATCTATCTATCTATCTATCTATCTATCTATCTATCTATCTATCTATCTATCTATCTATCTATCTATCTATCTATCTATCTATCTATCTATCTATCTATCTATCTGTCTGTCTATCTATCTATCTATCTATCTATCTATCTATCTATCTATCTATCTATCTATCTATCTATCTATCTATCTATCTATCTATCTATCTGTCTATCTATCTATCTATCTATCTATCTATCTATCTATCTATCTATCTATCTATCTATCTATCTATCTATCTATCTATCTATCTATCTATCTATCTATCTATCTAGCTAGCTAGCCGAAAACTAGTTTTTGTTCTCCTGGCCATTTCGATAAGGGTATCGATACTAAAATTTGTATGGCATAACATGGCTGTATGGCGAGCATCACTGACTAGTCTATACATCAAATTATAACATAAAAATCATATTACGTATGCCATGATTTCCAGTTCATTGTTTTGCTGTTCTCTTAGTGGTTTCGTTCACGTGATAAACTGCAAAACTGGCATGGTATAACATGACTCTATGGCGGACATAAGTGATAGACCCTAACGTGAAAATTATGACTTGCATTTTAATATAAGAACAATGGCTACATGCCATGCTCCTTATGCGCCCACGGCCGTTTCGCTGGGTTCACATATATCAAGTTTTGTATTACATGACATAAATTGAGGGTGAAGGTGTATGACTGGTGCAAACAAGAAAATGATGTCATGTGTTTTATGTAAGAACATGACACATGTCAAGCTCATGGTGCACTCCTGGTCATTTCAATATCTGCACTTATAACAATTTTCGTATTACAAGACGTGGATAGATGACAAAGGTATATCACTGGTACAAGCCCAAGAATCATGAGATGCACGTCGTGTAATAGCATGACTACATGGCACGCTTCTGATGCGCACGCATCTGTTTCGCTAGCTTTCCATATACCAAATTTGACATTAAATGACGCGAACGAGCGATGAAGGTAAATGACACGTCCAAACATGAAAATCATAAAATGCGTGTCATGTAACAACATGACTACATGCTACGGTCATCGTGCGCTCGCGGGCATTTTTCTGGCTCTAGATATACCAAATTTGGTATTACGTGACGCAAATGAACGACCAAGGTAAATGACATGTCTAAACATGATAATCATGACATGCGTGTCCTATAAAACATGACTACCTGCTACGCTCATCGTGCGCTCGCGGGCACTTCGCTAGCTCCAGATATACCTGTTTGCTAATACGTGACGACGTCGATGGAAGACAAAGGTAAATGACACGTCTAAACATAATAATCAAGACATGGAAGTCATGTACGGCGTATCTCATGTCCACGACGTAGCGGTGTGCTGATTTAAAGTGACGTATTAACCTTCCTCATCCATGCTTCGTATGTGATCGATTCCCACTGTACCTAGGCAGTCGTAACAATGACTATTTCAAAAGTACTTTGCGCATTTATATTTTCGCAAATAACTGCGGGTTATTGAGACGTAAAATAACTTCTAACTCTCAGTTCAGTTTTGAAATAAAAATACTAGCGCAAGTCGTGATGTGTGTGGGCGTGCCGCTTGCCAGTTTGTTTTCCATTGATTCATGGTGTACATAGGTGTACATGTCTTTAAAAACTCCATTGAGAGCATGTGAAATTTTGAACCTGTAGAAACTTACGTGACAAATTCAGAGATATGAAAAATTTACGATGAACAGAAACGAGATAACGAGAGAATCTATTTGCGAAAATTATTTAGTCGGTGGTACCCGGGAACATACTCAACTAGGTAAAGGCGCATAGAACTGTTCAAGGAAAACAAGTTACCTCTTTCGAAATTCATGTATGACATATTGCTTGTTCTTGTTCTTTGACTAAATCAGTACTTCTGAAGAGTTTACATTAAAGAACGTCACCCAGGCACGGGAAAGAAATTTCTAAGGTGGAATAAATATAAAGCTACGAGGAATAATTCAAAAATGCATGTTACTGGTACTATTTCACACGGTATTTTCTTTTTCTATGCAGAAAGAAATGGCTAGCTGCTACGACATTTGCACTGTTGTCACTAGTTTCGTGCTCAATCTCTGCCTGGCAGATATACGGCACAAACTTGAAGCCCTTTGTTCTAGCCGTGGCAGATACCTTCAGGTAAGAATACAATTGAACTACCCGTAACCGCTACCTTCCATAACTAGTGGGTGTTTAATTTCACAAACAAGTGAAGGAGACGCGCTGTCTACAGACGTGGAACATAATTGTAAAGTAGGATTCTAGGACAACCAATCCGCATTATAATTGTTAGAGGTACACTGTATTAAAAATTAGCAGACCACCAAACTCTCCAGCGATGAATGCCGGAATTCCAAGTGCTCAGATGAAACCTCTTCGGGACACACTATGTAGAGATGCCATTACCTTTCCCGCCCATGTCAAGCCAGTTCGCCTGTTTTACTAAACCTCTCAAGAAATGCCCAGTGGGCAAAAATGCAGTAACAACCACAGCGTGTCATGCAGAAAACTAGCCAAGTAGAGAAGTAGGCAGCGGCAATCATTAGGCATTTGTTTTTAAGAGTAGTCAACTTCCACACTTGAAAAGGTAGCGCTACTGGACATGAAAAAAAAAGGAAAGCCACTCACACAGAAGAAAACATTTTCGTCTTTGTGTCAGTGTGTCTTACCTTTGCCGTGTCCACTAGCGTGGCTTTTACAAGTATAAATTTCGAGCTTACCGAAAAAACAACACTGTTTAATTCAATTTCTAGATTTTGTACTTGCAATCACAAGTGCTTTTTGTTTAAACCCACTGCACTCTAAAAACCAAACAACCAAAGCATCTATTGGAAAATGAAAAGGAACGAATAGAATAGTGAGTGGATATTGCAGAGCACACACTGTTGTCACCTTATAGTTTCAACGGACAATGACTACTCTGTAGACAGCGTAAATTTTTCGTGAAATACTAAAAGAGGAATGAAACAAAGCAATAAAATATATATATTTGTGCCAGTGAAACGCAGCGAATGCTCAGAGAACTTATTCACAATGAAACGCAACAAAAGTAAAGGGTCCATGAATTGTTCTTTGGCCACACTTCATTAGAAATACATGAAATAGTGGCCAACGAACTTTTATTTGGCCATTTAAAATTTGTATTTAAGTTTGTTTCTATTTCTTGTGTTAAAATTTAGTGATTCACACGGTTAGCAAATAGCTTTTGTAAATGTTCAGTTGATCAAATACATCATTTGAAAGAGTCGTATGGAAAATTCGCCTATAGATCAATAACATATTTCAACATCATGAGAGAATGTCCTCCATCATAATCATCGTGATATTAGACAACCATTCGACGCACGTGCTGCAACCAAATCATTATGAATGATCTTGTGTCAAAAATTTCACTCTCAGTTTATTTGAGAACCCCGAACAGGTAAATAAGGAGAGTAGTTAATCACACAAACTGATGCCCTGGACCCAGTGAAGCCTCTTACGATGTGCAGCTCGTCCTGTAAACTGCTGCCGTCTTTCAATCCCCAATCAGGGTAGTGCAGTGCACGTAAACACCTAGGCTACCCATTTTCTCACGGGGCTGGGAGGGATCACATAAGGGGTATTGAATTTGCATTGAATAGAACACACATCACTGACCTTGTTCCTACCATATCCACTATAACGTCCACCATCTTAATTTAAAAAATCCAGCCAACTTTCGTGTTTTTAAAATGAAGGAATGACAGATTTTCAGAATGGTTCACGCTTAGTCTATCAATGCAGTGTCATTCTTGAAATTTTTCATGTCAGCTCGAAAGTCACCGTACCGACCGGTGCAACGTTCTACGAGTTCCGTATTTCTTCCATTGGGGTATCCTTTTCTCTTAAATTTGCTGCTGTAATTTATTCTGCAATGCCTTACAGTACTGACACCATTCAGTCTCCCAAAGTTTAAGGCATCGCAGTTTAAAAGCTGGAATAAAAACGATTTCGTTCTCTCTTTTTCCCCCACTCTTTTGCATTGCAGCACTGTTGCTGACACACTAAACGACTACTATTTGCTGCCATTCTACCATGGTGTATGCTTTTTTTCCGGCTGCATCACATTTCTTCTCGTAGAGAGGTTCGGCCAGGTGAAGATTTCAAAGGTAAGCTTACATACACCCCAAGATTTCTCATGCTTCAGAATTGCATACATACGTTCATGGCTATGTTAGACTGAGAAACCTTGAAAATTACTGCGATATGGGGGTGGTGATGCATGAGGAATGTTTTATTCCGTCCGTATGTCTGAAAATAACCACTATAAATAAATATATTATTACAGAAGATCATTTTCTCTACAGATGTAGGGAATTTCAAAGCTGCTTCATTGATACCTAAAGTTGAACGACCCAAATTCACCATATGATAATGAGGGGCGCCGTAGTGGGGTCCTCCATAAATATTGAGCACCGGGAGTTCTTTAACGTGCAACTAAATTTGAGCACGCGAGCCTGGACCATTTTCGCCTCCATCAAAAATGCAGCCGCCACAGCTGGGGTTTGATAGTGTGCCCTGACGTTCTGAATGCAAGGACGACAACGCTACGCAGCCAGGTTGATAAATTGTGAAATATACCAGTGGGGCGAAAACTACATCGCAGGACATCAGTCTAAAAAGTCTTCGTTGTATTGCGTGGAACTGGAACAAATAAAGTGCTCTATAAAACAAGTTGTAGAACCAGCAGGAGTAGAAAGAAAAATTCAACTTTCCAAAAGTGTTTTTATACGCAGGACCAGTTACAGTGTTCGCGTTGTTACGCGATTTTCTTTGGCAGTTTCCAATGGCATTTCGACACTGCCAACACTGCCCGCAAATGGAATTCCAGGGACGACCTCTACCTACTAATATGCACAACGTTCATGAATCATACAAATCCCAAAAGAGTTTCTCTTGATTCGTCTTGATTTTCTGTCAAGAAAAAAGTGTTCTTGTCAAATATATTGCAGCTATGGCAGCTGCATAATTGCATTATACTGGTGTGCCCACGCAAACACCGTGGCTCCTGAACATTGAGCCGTGTGTCACCTTCGGCACACAAGGTTGTCTCTTCAAGGACGAGATGAGATAGCGGACAAATATAATGTCACAGCTAAAAGCTAGCATTCCAAGATAACGCAGGATAACAAAGGGGACAACAAAGTTAGAAAAAATAAATGAAGAATAGTGTAACACTCGAACAGCGTCAGGAAAGTAATGGTAGCTCAAATGCCTTAGCAGAGCATTACATAAACGCTAACGACATCACTTGCTGGGGTCTTGTTGCCATTAGAATGAAAGACAGGCGTATGTATTGAGCTGCGTTATTAGGAATCATGCAAACAACTTATTTGCTAAACCCGACGAACATGACTTCAAGGAACCTTGTGGAGACATGTGCTACACTTCCAAGAATAAATAGTCGAATGCCATTGGCATTGGTCTAGATACTGATGAAGAGATGCGTAGGGCTATGAGAATCATATTATTTCATTAGTTGTTATTTACATCTTGGTTTTTCTTTCAACAAGTGCTGCCCTCCAAGTCATGTTTCATATAACGTAAGGCCATTTCTGCAAACATTGGACTACGTGCGAGAAAGTGCGCAGGTAAGCTTTGTCGCCGATCTTTGTTGGCTATAGTGTTTGTCATTGCGTGATCTGGCAATAAACGGCAGAAAAGGTGCTGGCTATCTTAATTTATTCATTTAAATTTGACAAGTGCGGTAGCGGATGTGTAGATATATGACGAAACCCTGCACAGGTCTACTGGCGGCCTCTTGTACGTGTACTCGCTTGTGTTTAGGCTAGAGTACAGTTAGCTGGGACCACATGTGTACACAATTAGGCACTCTAACAAATAGTTTCTGATGATCCAAGAAAAACGTGACAAGCACTATGAGCTTAATTTGTGCCAGGGCCAGGCGTTCACGTTAAAAAAAGTGTATAAAGAATAAAAAGCCATAATTATGCAGGATTTGTCAACATCTCATCAGGATGTCGTTAAATCTTGCATAAATATCACTTGAAGGCATTGTTGGAAAGAAACAAAAAATGTTCTAAGGTGTTTACCGTGATGGTCGTTGTTTTTTCTGTTTTAGCATCCAAGAAAAACCCCACCATCTACTTCTAAAAAGAGCAGGTGTAGACGCGAAGCACCAGGCGTTAACGCTTATACTGGCAGCGAAGTTGACACTGTCACTCATCGCGGCGTTGCGCAGGAGGTGAACCCGCGGAGGCGTAAAGTACGGAGTGATGGACCGGTGCTTTTCACAGGGACATGCCAATCGCTGCTAACGGGCGATGAGAAAAAGAAGGCTCTCGTTGGACATAGTGACCTGCAGTTCAATTTTAGTTAACAGGCACGCTGTGAATTTTCATTGATTAACAACGCACATGACTAATCTCCCACAGGCACTACATTGAAAGCTAAGATCCAATACTCATATATACCGTGTGACCAGTGAAAGTTTGTCCAGCAGGAGCTGTTCGTTTTTTAATCAAGAAAATTGCTAGCAGACGCTGCCTGCGTCGGCGTTGCGAGGGGAAAGATGTGGGAGTGTGGGAGAGAAGAAAGTTGGGAGAGCACACGCATGCACAATGGTATGTAAACGCCGAGGAAAGCAATGCCTAGAGGAGAGAGAGGGGGAGAGCAAGCGTAGGCTAGCAGACGCTACTTGTGCCGGCATTGCAAGGTGAGAGAGGGGAGCGTGGAAGAGGAAAGAGAAGAGGTGCTAGCGGATGTGCGCAGTAAGAATGGTCACACCACACACCAGATTTAGCTGGACGCTAAGATACTTCGTATCTAAAAAAAGCATTGCACCTTCCCATATTAGAGAGAATACACTTTCAGTACTTCATTGCAGCAAAACGACTAGCTAAGGGCTCTGAAAATTAGAACATCTTCCTGCTGTCGACCTTTCAGATTGCCATGTAGTGTGGCTTCTACAAAAACACTGGCCCGCTAGGCTGCACTTTCCTGACATATATACCGGACGCTCCGATTCATATCATGACGGCTCAAAGTAAAGTGCGCGAATTCGCAGAAACAGCTTACACAAAAGATATTAGCAAGCTGTCATTTGAGTCAATAGCTGATATCAGACATACCATAATCCAGATAGTCTAGCCAAAGGGTGGAGGTGTTCAGGTGTTGATCTGTAACGAAAGGTTTGTTACGAAATAAAATTGTCGAGAAATTTACCCCAAATCTTCAGGTAAGCATATTTCTTGATCTGGTGAACTATTCATGAAGGATAAATCTGCGAAAAAGACAGCTTTACTAGCATCACCGTAGGAGGCCTTACCTTTGTGTCAGTGAAAGGTTTCTTCATATTCATGAATTTCATGCGTTACTCTGATCCCTGATCCGGGAACCCCTACCTGCCGAAACAAACGTTAATATATATATATATATATATATATATATATATATATATATATATATATATATATGTGACGCTATGATGACGTCGCCCAGTCATCATAGCGTCACGTATATATATTCATTGTTTAAAGGTTGAAGCTTATCTTTTCACCCTCTGTTCTTTCTTCACTGTTACATTACAATTTGGTCTTATAAATTTCCGTATGCTTTCTTCGGTATTATTGTCTGTGCCCCGCGACGGTGGTCTAGTGGTTAAGTCTAGTGACTCGGCTACTGACCCGCAGGTCGGGGATTCGTATCCCGGCTGCGGCGGCTGCATTTCCGATGGGGGCGGAAATGTTGTAGGCCCGTGTGCTCAGACTTGGGTGCACTTTAAAGAACCACAGGTGGTCGAAATTTCCGGAGCCCTCCACTTCGGCGTCTCTCATAATCATACGGTGTTTTCGGGACGTTAAACCCCACATAACAATCATCAATCAATTATTGTCTGTTATATCTCGTTATTATTGCGTCAAAAACAAAAAAACGACTCTTAGGTATACACATCTTTCCCTTATTTTTTAACAAGGGCCTCGAACTGGCAGACTTGGTGCCTTTAGGTTGCGTACGAGGGACTATTGGTCAGCTGCCAGCTCGTAATAAGTTCACGTGCTACGTGACGTCAAAACAGGCTAATAAAGAGTTTTACACACTCGCTGCTATAGCTACTGATGGCGCTGACTGACACCCCCACGTTTAAATTCACATATAAACCCAATAAAGTGGCTGTGGAGGTAGCCGCCTTGGTAGCTCAGTGGTAGAGCATCGAATGCGTTATTGGAAGGTTGGAGGTTCGGTTCCTGCCCACGGCAACTTACCTTTTCACCCATTTTTTTCACATATACATTACAATTTGGTCTTATAACTTCCCCTATACTTTCTTTAGCAATATTGACTGTTCCACCTCATAAATATTGTGTCAAACACAGAAACACGAGCCCTTAAATGTAGACATCGTTCCCTTATTCATTAACGAGGGCCTCGTACGGGCAGACTTGCTGCCTTAAGGTTGTATACGAGGAACTATTTGTCAGCTGCCAGCTCGTAATAAGTTCACGTGCTACGATACGCTAAAACAGGCTCATAAAGAGTGTGCCCTAATCGCTGCCATTGCTACCGGTGGCGCTGACTGACACTCCACTGTTTGAATTCACGTATAAACTCAGTAAAGTATCTCTGGCGATAGCCGCCGTGGTAGCTCAATTATAGAGCATGAAATGCGTTATTCGAAGGGCGCAGGCTCAGTTCCTGCCCACGGCAAGTTCTCTTTTCACCCGCATTTTCCTTCACATTTACATTACAATTTGGTTTAATAACGTTTGCTATACTTTCATTGGCAATATTATCTGTTAGATCTGAATATTAATGTGTCAAACACAGAAAAACGAGCCCTTGAGTATACACATCTTTCTCTTATTCATTAACGAGGGTCTCGTACTGGCGCACTTAGTGCTTTTAGGTTGTATGCGAAGGACTATTGGTCACCTGCCAGCTCGTAATAATTCAACGTGCAATGTGACGCCAAAACAGGCTAATAAAGAGTGTTCTACACGCGCTGCCATAGCTACTGGGGGCGCTTACTGTCACTCCCAAGTTCAAATTCTCATATAAATTCATTGAAGCGGTGGGGGGGGGGGGGATAGCCACCGTGGTAGCTCAGTGGTAGGGCAATGAATGCGTTATTCGAAGGACCACTTTTCTTTCTTCAAATTTACATTACAAGTTGGGTCAAGGTTTTCCTTATCTACTTTATCATACATTAAGTAGTAAGGATACAGAACTGTTCTATATATATATATATATAATATATATATATATATATATATATATATATATATATATATATATATATATATATATATATATATATATATATATATATATATATATATATATATATATATATAGCGTAAGGCATACTTTATTTTCAAACTCCGAACATTAGTAGCCGCCATCATCGAGGACCGCGGAAGGCTCTCCTGCCCCCGAGAAGTAAGCCAGGAGGAAATTGGTGACAAAAATTGATAGCTGGAGACCATGCTTATTTTTTCTGACTGACTCGTACGTGTACACTGTCCTTTCTTCTTTTTTTTCTCTTCTTTTTGTCCCTATTTTTTTTTTGCACATGCACATACAAAGTGGTTCTGTTCACCTACCACTTGATGACCATTGAGGGGAAACGGACGAAGATGAAAGAGAGCCGACCGACCCATTAAGGGGAAACCCTTTCTTTACGCACGCCGTCACGGACCCCTCCTGCCACCGCGGCGACAAACTTCGGTGGCTCGACACACGCCGAGAACTGACCAGCACGGGATTAGAACCGGATGTGGATGTACACAGACATTTGATTTTATTCTCAGTGTTGACAGTGGTTCTTCCTCTTATTTACTTTCTTTTTTCTTTCTTTTTTCTTTTTCCTTTTATTCTTTTCGTCCTTTTTCTTTTTTGTTTTCTTTCCTTTCTTTCTTTTTTAGTTCTCTCTCACTTTCGCAAACATCTTCCAAGGCGAGAGGGACGCGGCAGCAACGAAGTTTAGAAGTTCATGTTAGTACAATTCATCCCCTGATGAAGGGAGGACCCCTCCCGAAACTGTTGGGAAATGAATATATTTATCCTTGTTGACAACGCTCCCGTTGTGCCATATCCCATACATTATATATATATATATATATATATATATACTGATAGATAGATAGATAGATAGATAGATAGATAGATAGATAGATAGATAGATAGATAGATAGATAGATAGATAGATAGATAGATAGATAGATAGATAGATAGATACAGTGGGAGCCTTGTGCGGACTTTTCAATAGTTGATTCTATGAATTTCAAGGTGGTTCCTGCGGGATTACACATATAACTTTTTGAGCACCCACAAAGATAAGTGGAGAGCTCACACAAGAACATGGGATATGAGAGACGACGCCGATTTACCTCCTGTGTTCTTTTGTATCCAAAATCATTGGTAACTATGCTGCCAGTGTGACGAAGCCCCTGTAAGTTCCTCGAGGTTATTGGCGTTAGAAATAGCGCAAGCTCAGACCGAAAAGCTGCCTGACTTGAAGTATATGTTCTCCATCTCTCTCACGGCCTTATAGAGCTAGGTGAGCCACAGACGCAGAAAATGTACGATATACGCAAAATGTGTGTTTTCTATATAATTATTTGAGGTTTAACATCCTAAAAGCACTATATGATTATGAGAGATGCCGTAGTGGAGGGCTGCGAAAAATTTGACCACCTGGGGTTCTCTAACGTTCACCCAAATGTGAGCGCACTGGCCTATAGCAATTTCGCCTTCATCAAAAATGCAGCCGCCGCAGCACTGTGTTTTCTAGACGTAGTATTATTTTCTAGTGTTTGTGCTCGGTGTAGTTCAATTTTTCAACTACCAATACATGGTTGGTGTTTTTTTCGCAGATAATTCAAGCTTCGCTTTGGTGTATCTGCTTGTTCTGCGGCCTGTACTGTATGTTCATGAAAATTGAATGGTACCGAAGCACCGAACGGGCCTCAGAAACCAGGCGCTTGTTAGTGGCCTTTACGGACCGCATTCTCTGGTCTGTCTGCGTGGCCTGGTTCACCTTCAGTTGCTCCACTGGCCGAGGAGGTAGGCCTATGTACCCCTCATGCAAAATCTGCTTATTCTAATATTTGGCCTCGCTTTCTTCGAGTGATTCTCCAGACGCATGAAATCTACAGTTATTTCACAGGTCATGAGTCAGTCTAAGTTGCTTGGCTTAATAAATGTTGGTACTTATGGAGATTCGCGAATATCCAAAAGGAGTATCGACGAAGTTTATAAGCCAGCCTTTTTCTTTTGCTTTTGAAGCAATGAAGAGAGAGTGTGAGAGAGTGAAATGTTAATGTAAAAATGAAAAAAAAAAGATACAATGCCCTGTCTGGTGAATCATTATAGAGATGGAATGATACTTATTATGGTTGCTTTGTTTTACCAAAGTTGCTTTTATGTAACTACTGGACAACAATTTGGGTGTTCAACTCGTTTTGTGCAATCGAATTCTTTGTCTGCCATTTAGCTTCCTAATAAATATTTATTTTATCATAATGCTTATTGATCATGTGAAAATCAGACATTCTTGTAATCTATATCATAGCGAAACTTTGACAGGCATTTTTATTACAGAAAATTAAATAAAACCTGTCTGAATTTGCTATATAACTGCTATTTTTTCAAAAATATTGCAGGTTTTGTGAACCGCTTCTTGTGCTGGAGTCCGTTTGTGCCGCTGAGTCGGTTGTCGTTCGGCGTGTACCTCATACACTCACCCTTCTACATCCTCATGTACCACATTTCCAGGGAGCGAATTTTCTTTTCTCACTTCACGCTGGTGAGTTGCAGCAAACTGTGCACCTCAAGTGAAAGCTTGGATGCACTACAATGTGCGTGTCTATAGCAGCGTCCGGACGCTGTTATCATTCATAGAGACGTATAAATTTCTAAGGCGAAAGCCTCACATGCCTCATCAAACACGAAAGTTTACCATCAGTGGTGGCGTCACCAGGAGGCATTGGCAACATTGGTGCCAACGCGAGAGATGCAAAAACTCACCACAAGATGGCGTCACCAAATGACACAGCAGATCGCCAAAAATTGCGTCGTCGCTATAACAATGAATATGTGACGTCACTTGATGATGTCGTCACTTGGTCAAAGGTGGGCCAATCACGGAGGTCGTGCATGCAGGCGTAGACAGCTGGCGATGCCTCCAATCCCCGAGGCAGAGCAAAATGATGTTATAGATGCGGAAAGCTTTCGGAGAGGGGTGGAGCATGATTAAAACGAAGACTGAGAACACTAAAAAGCAGGAAATGGCTTTCGCCTTTGAGCAAACTTAGGCAAATGCCTAAAGAGAAACTCCGGCGCTCTATCGATATTAACCGATTTCAATAAAACTTTTAAGATATGTTTTCGTCGGTACCATGATGTTATGTACCGAATTACACAACCGTAAGTCATTTAGGTCTCTGGAAAACAAATTTGAAATTTGGTGGCTGATTCTGGAATCACACTTGTATATACTGGCCACCCTATGTATGTGATGTCAGGGCCTCCTCTTTTTTGAAAACCCTGCCTTTCCCAGCATAAGGATGGAGCGGGAGTTTTCTTCTACGAAGCGACGACAACGTGAGCACAATGCAGTTTTGTCAGCTGCATACAGCTTTTGGTCGTCATTGACGTCCAGTTTTACAATATTGAGCAATGAGAAAATAGATTTTGGGCATGTCAGAGGCTTCACGAGCCGGCGGTTTGAAATAAAAAAAAATTGACTCCGTATCTGTATGTAAACTGCAAATGTCGGCGAAAGACAATAGTCACGTGTGGAGAGAGTGAACAATTAATTTGATGTTCTGCGCAAGAAAATCGGTGAAGGGTATTTTGGAGGCGCTGCGTTAGAGTGCCTCGAGCGTACAGCGGAGGCAAACGAGCGTATCAAGTCACGTCACACGTGAGACATGAGCGCCACCTTGCAGTCTTCTTGCTAAACGAAGCACGTGGCTCTTGACGGGTGTGCGCGCTCGTCTCAGAGGTGATAAGATGAAGAACGCAAGGCGATCGGTACGTGCTACCACCATCGCGTCTTAGCAAAGCGTTGGAAACACACATTTTCGTGCAAGCGTTGGATAGTCAGCACAGCGTGATAAGCGCTTCGTGTTCTTAAAATTACTTATGTGTGCATTTTCTAGTAAAAGATTCACATGCAGAATATATACGTGTTGTTATGGTGCCCCAGACTTGCTCAATAATTGCTTATTGTTTGGCGATTGCACAAGTAGGAGCGCTAAATCTTGAGCAACATTGGTGGGTGCTGCAGATGGGTTCAGCCGTTTCATGTACCCGGTGCCGTTAAGAGTGGACAAAGAGACAAATGTACAGACAGACAGACAGACAGACAGACCAAAATTTTTGCGGTGAAGGTCGCCGAGAAAGACGATTGTCTTTAAAAGCAATGCTTCCGCTCTAAGATGGTAGTTGCAGTCATCGTTTAACTTCTGGTACGTTCAGTCGAGCTGGCACAGTTTGATTCCGCTTCGGATGATATCGCCTATTTGCTTTTCGCGCGTCACAAGAGGTACGTGAGCTATGTTTATACCCTGGCTAGTCATGGCAGGGTGTAGCGGACCTCGTGACGTCATCGGTGACCGATTCTTGTGACGTCATCCGATACCCATCATGAATGACAGAGCGGCTCCATGTTTCTGTTTCTGTTTCGACTCGTCGTTTATTGCTTTAATAAAATAATTGACGAGTGTCTGGGTAAAATGAGCCACCCTAGCTTTTGCAGGACTGTCACTACTACTTGAAAACAGCATAATCTCAGTATAGTCGAAAATGCACCGGAGTTTTCCTTTAAGGCAAGCTCTGATTTTTTTCTGTTTGGTCCTTGCTTCGAAGACCTGTCTTACTAGATGGTTGCGTAAGTCGACCAAAGGGGTGATCGCCTGTATTCAAAACAAACGCTCAGAATAGATAGGAGTATTTTGAACAGATTTTAGACGAAACCTTCGCGCGTAACATTCTCTGCTGCGACAAGTCGACATTCTAGCGATAAAAAATATTTATTTGCTTTCTCACTTATTTGAGCTTTATTCTATTAAACCTGAAATAAACTTGCTGATAAAGTTCAAATTTAGAGATTCCGAGTGGGACCCATAAATGACAGAGGCCGAGCTTGAAGCAGTTTTTCATTTGTTTAGAACGCTTGCGTTAACTGTGGGGGAATGATTCTGCATGAGTTGTGCAGTGTTGTTCTAATATTCCAGTACTCGTTAAATTGCTCCAAATTCATGGAGATCGCAGGTCATCTGCTGAGAAGGTTGCATATAAATGCGATAGCTTTAAAAAGCTCTTTTTCTAGAAATTTCGGCGTTGGCATGGGAGTCATTGATTGTAAGCGAAAATTCACCAGCTGATGTGTGACCAAAAATAGAGGATAGAAATAAAATAAACCAAAATTTCTGGGTCTTAGCGAGTGTGGTACTCAGGGCGTTTGCATGAGAAGAAAGTGTTCTACAACACAGCCATGTCTCTCTTGGGGAATACCTTCAAAACAACTTCCTCTGCTTGGGAACGAGGTGAAAATATGCTCATGCGTTACAAACACATGCGTCCGCGATACAGGCGTCCCGATACAGCATGTAATCTCACAGCAATATTGCGTAGTTCAAGTGTCAATTGCCATCAGGTGTTAGAACATGCAAATATCGCAACGACTTGGTGGTTCAAAGCCGGCAGCCCAATGCGAATATCACACACGTTACTGCACGCATTCCCTCGAGCATACGTAGTGGGTGCATAGCAAGTTCCAAAAATTTCAGGCGGATCATCACAAGTAGCTTAAAGCATGCTACTCATTACAATAATGCAGCCTTATACAAAAGCTTCACTGCCAGAAACCACATTCAACTTTATCGACTACTAGGCATTAACTCGAAATGCGAAGTTCTCGAGCAACGTCATGCATGATGTTGCTCTAGAACTTTGCATTTTGCATGCAATAAAAAAGCATGCACTTATTGGTTAAAGTGCGCACTATGAACAGAATTTTGCTATATCGCTCAACTTTTAAAGGTTAAGCTTATAAATTTTTTATCCTAACATGGTTATTTACTGCTTCCTATTTAACATTGTTAATTACTAGATGGGATGTCCTCATACTGTTCCTATTCAAGAAATTGAAGTATTTTCAACAAACGACCTGTCAGATTCAAAAGTGTTTTTTGTCAGGACAAAGTCTGAATGCCATAGTAGTTATTAATAAATGCACTGTAACACTTGACTGTCACGTTTTCTTGTAAATCGCAATGCGGATTACGAAATGGTTTGGGAATGCAGCCTCAGGAGAAAAAAATTACCAGTTGCAGATGGATCGACACTTTTCTGCAACTATATATCCTTTAAGATTGGTATAACTGACAGTTCAAGCGCACGAATAAACAGAAAGGAAGCGCTTGTCCTCTCTTCCTTTCTGTTTATTCGTGCGCTTGAACTGTCAGTTATACAATGCATATCCAACTAGCCCAACTTTCAATTCTCGTTTACGATTAACCCGCAGGTGTCTCAGTGCTTCGCTGTCGTGGTGTGGAGCTACATCCTCAGCTATATTCTTTTCATCGCCTGCGAAGGGCCAACGGGGCATCTCGAGAAGCTGGTATTCATGCCCGTGCGAAGAAGCGAAGATTCGCGATCAGACATCACTAAGAATGGTGTGCATCACAACGACGTCAACGGCAACATGAAAAGCATACCTGCCCTCAGTGGAGAGCAGAGCAAGTCCAAGAAGTACCTCAATGAAGATTCGCTAGAAACAGGAATTGGCATAAGTGAAAACGAGAGCACCGAATGCTGCCGTTTATAGTGACATTGACAGGATTGAGTTTGTTCCTTTTTTCGCTGTCTATGTAAGGCAAAGCGTTTTGCTGGGTCATTCATGCGAAGCCACGCTACCTCAGCCGACCGGTGTGCCCAAACCACCATTGAAGAAAAATGGAAAGTTGTGAAAAAGCAATAAGCGTGCCTCCATGCCACAGGGTGCTCGATGAACACCTTTCAAGATGTATTGATCTACTACATTTTGTAAATAGCCTTTAGCGAACCAATACCTGTATGTTAAAATTCAGTAAAAACAAAAAGCAACCCTGTTGTCATTGAGATTCATTTACACAATACTTCGGTTGTTCAACTCAAAATTTACAGGAATTACTCTCGTTATACTCGTAGAGCTGCCTGTATTAGCGCGGAAAAATGATAGAGTTTAAGAGCCATTCCAGTTCTGCTCACGACGGAAGTGTAGTAGGTGTACCCTTAGTTAGTGCGAGCGCCGTCCTAACAGGTAGACATCTGTTATGTGCCTGCTAAATAGATAATTTTATGGTTCTAGCAACAGTATTCGAAACAATGCGTGTCATAAGACTGCGACCGACTATCCCACTAAAACACAGCTGTTGTTTTACTGCTCTTTAGTCACAGAAACGCGATGTCAGAGTCAAGAATGATTTAAATCCTTAGCAGTATTACAAGTTACCGCGAAAGTTTAAAAATGATTCAGGAAGGCAACAATTTTTTTCTCATAAACATTATATCGATCTCGGCAACGAACACACGATTCAGTAAAAAAGCACGTGTACCTTCAGTGGATGGAATAAGATATAATGTGTACCTTAGACAGCACAGACTACGAAAACTACGATGAAAGCCGCAAGATCTTGTGAAGCTTGCGGAGAAGCTGCATAAAAATAATGGCAATGCAAGCGCGTTGTAAAAACGTTCTCACTAGTTTCACATCATGCGGTTGAATTGTGAACTCCTCAGGTGTACATGTTCTCATCATCTTGGTAAAAACTCAATACGAAAATTAAAAAGTTGGCCAGTTCTCGTGCTGGTGACGACTGCACGTTTGTTAAACAGTACGCGTTAAAGAGTAAGTGTTGGTACGTTGCAATTGTAGCTACAAAACCCAGCTTGCTTGCTTGAGGGTGGTAGACAGAATAAAAACAATGGCGCATACCACGTTCATGAAAGAACTCTTCAAACATAGGCGTTATTGTAATAAGAGAACAAAAATATGCGTCATCACACAGTAGCCCTACATCGGAAGTTGGACACAAAGGAATACGCTAACTTCAACGGTGGCACGCATTAGACTAACACCGTTTGGTGACAATTAAATTTTGTCACACAATCTGAGACCAAACAGTGTTAAAAACTGCTACAAAGGGTGTTGTAGATATTGCAAAAAGCACTGGATGGGATTCTAAGCTTAAGGGCACTGTGCTAAGTGGCTACTGCACATACTCACCACTTCTCCCTGCCCAAATTTTCACCCTTCCATCCCCCTTTTCCCTCTTTCCGTACCAACTGTGTAAAGTAGCAGGCTAAAGCACAGTAGCTGAGGCCTACATCTCTACCTTCTTTTAATTTCTCATGCTCTCTCTGTCTCAACTATTATCACGCCGAAAAGCTTATCGATAATTTTATTATAAAAATGAAAACAAAGTTGGCAGTGATTCACCTTCCCGAAGAAACGCCATTCATAGAAACGAGACGTGCAATAAAGATATCTGTGTCACCACATGCGTGTGTTTAGGTAGCGGGTAATTTCGAAATCAGACTATACAAGGCGCACCCGATTTCGTAAGAAAGGATATCAAATGTAATATACGATATCAGCGTACGTGTAGAGTATCGTTGATTATGACCTACAACACAGTGATTGTGGCTGAAAAGACACCAACGCTGCATGACTATGTATACAAGCAAAAAATATGAAGCAGCTGATGCTACTTTTATGCAATATTTTTTTACTGGCATATAAGAATTCATTTTATGGTATATCGACATCGGTGTGCAGCCCCCGCGTTTTCTGGGTCACCACGCGGAAGCCCTTATAATGAATACTGAATATATATAATACCATTCACCAAAAACCCAATAGCTCCATTTGCCATATTTTGTTGGGTGCTAAAAGAAAACCAGTCTCATATCCAAGCCTTTGAGGTTCTAGGTGCTGGTCCTTTATCTTCGTTCTGCGATGACTTCACAATGTTTCTTGCGCTGTTCAGGCATCGAGAGACCCCTTATAATGCCGGTAAGATGGTAGCACTCACCTAATCAGAGTTTATCTGTTACCCGAACGAAGAAAAAGAAAGTACCAGCGGGAACTCGTCATCTGAACAAGTTCGGCACTGTGCTTTTGTTCGGAAATGACCGACGAGCACGAATGCGTCTTACAACCTGTGAATTTATACCCCTGTAATTTAGTTGCTTATCAGCAACATGATATATTCTTGCCGAACAGTAATACAAAACCGGCATTTTAAAACAGACGGCTAACGTCACGCACGTGCAGAAGAGCATGTTGTGCTAGCGAAATTGGGTTGCCGCTGTTGTAGATTGACGAACAGTTTACGTTTTTTTGTAAACGTGAGTAAGCAATGTCATAAGTATATCCCAGCAAATTTTTTTCCTTTACCTTGAAGCCCCGCTGCGGTGGTCTAGTGGCTAAGGTACTTGGCTCTTGTTCCGCAGGTTGTGGGATTGAATCCCGGCTGTGGCGGCTGCACTTCCGATGGAGTTGGAAATGCTGTAGGCCCGTGTGCTCAGATTTGAGTGCACTTAAAAGAACCCGAGGTGGTCGAAATTAACGGAGCCCTCCACTAGGGCGTCTCTCATAATCATATGGTGGTTTTGGGACAACCACAAGTTGAGGGGCCAGTCTGTTCCAAGGAGCTTCGTCAGCGGTGATATGATCGTGGCAAAGTTTTGTATGACGCGTCGGAAATATGAGCACAGTCCCGCGAAACGACGCAGTTCTTTGACGGAGGCAGGTTGGGAACTCGGCCACGGCCGGAAGCTTGACTAGGTCAGAAGAAATGCCATCCTTGGGCACGACGTACCCTAGGATGGTGAGTTGTCGTGCTGCAAAGCGGCACTTCTTCAGGTTTAGTTGCAAGCCGGCATTGCTCACACGTTCGAACACTTCTTTCAGACATTGGAGATGCGTGGAGAATTCCGGAGTGAAGACAACCACGTCATTCATGTAACACAAGCACGTGCTCCATTTCAAGTGGCGCAGAACGGTGTCCATCATGTGCTCAAAGGTCGCAGGTGCATTACATAGACCAAATGGCATGACATTGAATTCGTGCAAGCCGTCGGTTGGGATGAAGGCAGTCTTCAGTCGAGGGTCATCAGACATGGGTATTTGCCAGTATCCTGAGCGCAGATTGAGAAAAAAAATCGGCTCCGTGAAGACTGTCAATCGCATCATCAATACGCGGCGGTGGGTAAACATCCTTGCGAGTGATCTTATTGAACTGTCTGTCGTCCACACAGAATCGCATAGAACTATCTTTCTTCGGAACAACAACAGGAGACTCCCACAAACTGTCCGAGGGCCGAATAACGTTGCGTCGGAGTATATCGTCAACCTGCTCGTTAATTTCCCTACGTCCAGCAGGCGGCACGCGGCATGCTTGTTGCCGTGATGGCCGATGGGCACCAGTGTTGATACGATGCGTAACAGTGGACGCACGCCCGAGAGAACTTCACCCAACAACAAAAGAAGAACGATATTCTTGCAACAGGTCCAGAAGCCGAGAACGCTGTACCGACGTAAGGTCGGCAGCAATTTAGGGGTTAAATACATCAGGAGATGATGGATTAGAAGTAGAAACAGGACTGATGGTACGCGAATTGAGAACGCGCGTCATCAAGTACGTCCAACACTTGTGCATCGTCGACTGCTTCCAGTCTGCCGAGACATTCCCCTCGAACCAAGGTAACAGTGTACGAAGATGGGTTGCTGACAAAAATAGCGGCATAGCCCTGGAGGATTTGCACGGTCGCGAAAGGTACTAGCAACCCTTTCTTTCTGCAAGCACAGGCGGATGGGGAAAGGAGTGCAATTGTGTCTGAGAGACCAGTGCAGTAAATCGATAAACCCGTCGTCGAGCTTGGAGGTACTATGGCATATTCTTTCACGAGAATCTTGCTCAGTGTCTTAGGATTGTCTTTTGGCGTCAAATGCGAGAAGGGTAAGAGTTCAATTTCGGCGGCGGCACAATGGATGACGGCGTCGTGGCGGGAGAGAAAATCCCATCCCAGGATGGCGTCATGAGAGCATGCAGAAATGATGATGAATTAGGCGGCATACAGAACATCCTGAACGACAACGCGAGCTGTGCACCCTGCTGTAGAATGAATGCGCTGTGAACTAGCCGTACGAAGGGACAAACTAGAAATTGGCGTCGTCACTTTTCAAAGTAAGCGGCAAATGTTTTCGCCCATAACTGATACGGCAGCTCAAGTGTCAATAAGAGCAGATGCATAAACACCACCCAAAAGCACGTCAATGACATTAGATAGATGGCTATGTATGCTCATTGGGCTTTCACAATACAATAGCGTCGCAGTGCTTGCCTCGGGGACTGCAACGACTAGTTTTGCCGCTCGTGAGCACCCAAACTTGGCCGCATAGGGAGCGGGGAACGACGTCGTGTAGACGTTGACCTTCGAGGAGATGTGGCTAGGTGAGACGGCGGTGGCATAGACGGCGGTTCGTCGTGTTAGGGACGGCTGATCAAGCCAGCAACAGGCGATGAGACGGGGGAGGCTGTACGTGAGGGCAATAACATGCTACGTGGCCTGCGTAGCCACAGGAAAAGCAGATGGGCCAGTTGTCGGGTGTGCGCCACCGGTTCACCGGGGTAGGTCTTGTCCATGTCGCAAGAACCGACGGACAGAACGGTGGCTGGAAAGGCTGCAGGGTGGGCTGCAGCTGAGTCGGAGGAGTTGTGTCAACATATATAGCCGGCATACTTGCTGCAAAAGACCAATGTCGTGCGGCAGCTTCGGTATAAGTCAATGGGGCGGGCACTGGAACTACTAGAGGCGGCCTGGCAACCACTTGGGCATAACCTGGGGCGCATGAGCCGGAAGTTGTTGTGGGTGGTACGCAGGCATGACCTCCGCTACTTCCTGCTCAATCGCTCAGCGGATGGGTGGAAGAAGGGTAGCGGCCGATTGT